GCAGCCTTGGGCGCACCGAGTTGGCTCTGCCCCCGCCCCCTCCCTGAGGACAGACCCAGGTTCTCGGGGAGGTGAGCCTGGGGTCCTGGCTGGGAGCAGAGGGGCGGCTGGGCTCGGCCTGGGGCTCCCGGGCCTGCTGTCTGTGGGGGACGTGGCCTGCGCAGTGAGGCTGTGGGGGAATGGGAAGGCTGGGCAGGGACAGCAGGTGTTCCCGGCAGAGTGGCGGCACACCCAAAGGCCCCGGGTGGGTCAGGGCCTGGACGTCCATGGCCTGCAGACTGCAGGAACGAGGCCCTGGGAGGCAGGAGCGGTGCGGGTCTGTGTCTAATGGGACATGACAAGTTGGAGGCTGCTTAGCGAGTTGCTAAGTTTTCGATCTACGTCTAAACTGATTTCTGTGCCCCGGGAGCGTGGCTCAGAGGTCAGAGCCCTTGCCTGGCCCTAGGTTAAAAATTTAAAAAACTTTTTTTTTTGTTAAAAAAGGAACCTGGGACTAACCTGCGCTACAGTGTGGACAGACCTCAAGCACGTTACACAGAAGTCGCACACTATTTGCACGAGGTGATTGGACCAGGTGTGCGCTCGGGGGGACAGAAAGTGGCCGTGGTCAGCGGACAGGAAGCAGGTGGCCAGGGCCCCGTGGCTCTGAGGCTTCCGTGGGACCGGTGACCCGTGGTGGTGCTGTCTGGAGGGGGCAGGCCCTTGGGGACAAGGTGGGCACCACAGGTCCAGGAGCAGGACCCGGAGGGCACTTAGGACCCGACAGCTGGGCCACTGTCCATCACCCACCCGAGCGCAGAGCAGCAGAGCAGGCAGGGTGACCTTGCCCACCACCACTGTGAGCTGGGCCGAGATCCGTGCAGGCCGCCTCGGGCCGCGCTGCAGTGAGTGGATGGACGCATGGATGGACGGACGGTCGGACGTACCAGCCGGTGGGGAAGTTCCGGAACAGATCTAAAGAGCACGTGCTGCCCCAGGAGCTGGTGCCTGTGACCCAGCGCTCTGCGAGGCTGAGGCAGGAGGTTGCAAGGTTGAGTCCAGCTTGGGAAACTTAGTGAGATCCTGTGTCAAAATAAAAAATAACAAAGGGCCAAGGACATAGCTTGGTGAGGCCTTGGGTTTGATCTCTGTTACTGGAGAGTGGAGCGGGAGTGTGGAGGACAAAGGGTCTCACAAGGGAGCCTCTCCGAGCGCCCCCTTGCCGAGCCAAGGTGCTGCTTACGTAATCTTTTCTAAGGCCCTGGGGCTGTGAGCAGGCAGGGATCCTGGTGAGTATATTGTTACATAAAACGCTTTAATCAAGCAGCCCAAAATAGACGAGGAGAGTGTGAAAGAAACACAAACAGCCCTGTGAGCAGTTGCACTGGAAAGCACGCGTGCGTCACCCCACCTGGAGGGAGGCTGCGGCACACCCGACGGGGAAGTGGCCGCACATCCATGTCGGGCAGCAGGGCTAGTTACACTCAGGAGGATGTAAGGAGCACAGAAATTATTAATGGAGGCTGCCCTCTCAAGGCGTAAGACTAAAACTGTGTTTTTGAAAGTTGTCGAAGTATTTCATGACAGTGACAACCTCATAAATTCCCAAACCTGTAACAGTGCGCTAATTGTGAGTACAACACACTAAAAAGACTGTGCCGGGTGTGGTGGCACACGCGTGTAATCCCAGCACCTTGGAGGCTGAGGCAGGAGGACTGCTGCCAGTCTGAGGCCAGCCTGGGCTATGTAGTGAGGCCCAAAGCAACAGCAACAAAAACCGTAGCCCTGATGCACGGGAAGAGCTCGCCGCGCCGTTGCTGCAGCACGTGTTTTAGAGACATCAACCGGCTTCACTCCCTGCCTTCCGTGCTGTTTATATTATTACAGCCTTTAATTACTGCCATAGTGGATTTGAAAATTTACTTTTTCCATAAACATCAAGGCCCGTGAGCCCAGGCTCCAGGGCTGCCAGCGCTGCCAGGAGGAAGAAGCAGGCGTCTTGTGTTTCTAGCGGGCTCCTTGGCCGCCCAGCGCTGTCCCCTCCATCACGGCTGTGGGGCTGCCAGCGACTCGGGCACCAGCCCGGAGCCCTCTGCTCCTGCACTCTGCTGCACCCTCTGCCACCTGCCTTGCTCCAGCGTGGCAGAGGCTTCTGGTCTACCCGTCCCCTGGCCTTGTGCCGTCCCTGCTGGCTCCAAGTGGTCTCTCACCGAGCCCCGCTGGCACCCCGCCTTCCCGCCCTGCGTCTCTCTTGTCCTGCCCCAGCACCCGGCTCTGATTTTCATCCTCAGGCCCTCCTGCCCCCTGCGAGGACCAAGGCAGCAGGCTGGTGCGCCTCCTGGCCCCGGGCACTGTGCTGCCCGCTGTCCCCGCCCCGCCTGGCTCCATCTTCAGGCGGCGGCTCCCGCGTTCTCTTGGCGCTCCCTGTGGGCATTGACTCTGGAGCCGGGGTCTCCCCTCCCGCAGCTCCCACGGGTTGCCCCCTATTTGCTGCCATGCTCGGTGAAACACCGCCCCCAGGGGTGGCAAGGGCCTCTGATGATCTCTCCTCAGCGGAACCCAAGGTCAGCGGGCGAGCCAGCGGCTGGCAATGTGCCGTCCGGTTCTTCCGTGCCACCCAGTGTGCAGTCAGCGTGGCCCTGGGGCTGCGGGCGGGCGGGGCGGCCACAGGCCCTCTGCGGGCGTCCCACATTGGCGGAGACAGATGTTCTCCTTGTGGCTGTCCTGCTGGGTCCAGCGGGGCCAGGAGAGGTCGCTCATCCCCGGCTTACTTCTCGTCTTGGAGACCTGACCAGGATCGGAGCCAGCACCGGAAACTGGCGTCACCCCTCCGCGGTCGTCGTCACCCCGAGCCAGGGTGGGGAATCGCACGCCGGCTGAGCTGGGACCCAAGACCCTGCTTCGCTTCCAGCCCTTTGGACTTGGTGCACTGCTGCCCAGGCAGGTGGAGAAAGCGCAGCTCAGACACAGGGCGGGCAACACCGGAAGGCAGGCAGGGGCCACGGCTGGAACCCGGGCACTGGAGAAAGCACAGGAAGAGAGGCCAGCCGAGTCCACGCCTGCGCCCCACAGGACAGCTCTGCCTCTGCCCGAGCACAGCCCTGCCCCTCGTGTTCCTGTGAAGGAAAGTGTATTTAATTCATCAATTAGTTTAGAGACCATTCTGGCCAGCCTTGAACTCACTGTGTAGCCCAGGCTGTCCTGGTACTCACAGTGATCCTCCTGCCTCAGCCTTCTGAGCGCTGGGAAGACAGGCGTGCCCACCACACCAGGCCAAGGGGGAAGGTTAAGTTACATTAACAGTTCCTTCTCAGGGAGGGAGTAGCAGTGAGTGACAAAGTGAGGGACATGAAATAAAGGGTACAGCAGCGGCCCTGAAGAGCAGTTTACAACTGATGAGGGGCGGGATGAGAACGCGGAAAATCTCAGGGTTTCCCGGCGGGCACACGGCCCACTGCTTACTAACAGCCCAGCTCAAAGGCCAGGGGGGAGGCACAGACGTGTGTCCCAACCTGACTTTTTAACCTGGGGAACCAGGACGATGAAGGCCCCGACGGTTCACGAAGACTCGGGAGGAATGTGGGGCGGGCGGGGCGGGGGGGACGGCTCGGGGGGCCCCGCCGGGGCGGGTCCGGGGGGTCCGGGGGCCAGGACTGTGGTGGTTGGGAGTCGTCGCGTCGCTCGGGCTCCTGGACGCCCTGCCCGCCCCCGCTTGCAGGCCAGCAAAATAAGCCCGAGTCGCAAACACGCATGCTAGCAAGGTGCCCTCGAGCATTCAGATGAAAGCAAGCAAATGAACAACCACCTCAAAAACTGCGCAAAGTCTCAGAAGTCGATTTATCTGCGAAGCACGGGGACAGACACGGCGAGGGGCCCCCAGACCGAGCCTTCTGATTAGGGCCACAAACAGAAACTTCCTTCTCTGTCTGTGCAGTGGTCCTGCGGCACACCGCAACCCAGGAGCCAGAGGGGAAGGATCGGCCCTGAGAGTTTCCCAAGGCAACAGCACGAACGCCACCGCCACCACCACCAAAGCTTTACATGTGCGCGGAATGCTTGGGTGAGAAGATAGAAGATCGCTTAAAAGACTGAGGTTTTAAAAATCTTTTAGTGGTACTGGGGATTGAACCCAACACCCTCACACTGAGCTACACCCCCAGCCTGGTTTTTTATTTTGAGGAGTCTTGCTCATTTGCTCAGCCTAGGTTTTAACTTGCGCTCCTCCTGCCTCAGCCTCTCAAGAGTGCTGGGATTACATGCATGTGGCACCATGCCTGGCTAGATCAAAACTTTAACCAAACTTCACAAACCTCTGTCACATTCTGCTGGATCTTCCACACTCAGATGTATTTTCTTGCTCAGGAGTAGCATTCAATTACCTGCCCTAGAGTTCAGGATAAGAAGAGTTATATTGCAAAAGACACCAAATGAATTTCGCTTCCTGTGTTGCAGTAGACTGTACATATTTTGTTTTTAAGCTCTAAGCTTTGTGCTTCTTTTCTTGAAAACATTAGGTTTCCACTCCAATCCTTCCACCCTCCTCAACTAAGAAGTTAGTTTTAGAACCGGGCATGGAGGCGCACGCCTGTTATCCCAGCACCCAGAAGGCTGAGGCAGTAAGATCGCTGCAAGTTCAAGCCTAGCTTGGACTACAGAGTGAGACTGTGTTTCAAAAAACCAAAAGATAAAACTAATTTTAGAAAAGAAGTTAGCTTTGTAACACAGAAATGCTTCCCTTCAGGGCAGAAAAAGTATCCTGCGGAGTTTACTGTTCTGGGAGACAGGGAATTCTCTGAGTGGAAACGTCTCCTTGACATCAGACACAGATTCGGCTGCTTGTGAAGAGGGCCTGAGGTTCCACACGTTTTTAAATGTTTGCCTTGTGTTTTATCCCACTCGATCCCTGCACTGCTTTGCATGTTTGAGCTGTTCAAGAGGAACTGGCCAGAGGCATCTCCAGGAGAGCTCACCTTCACAGCCAACAACGACGACGAGGCCCGCTAGGAAATCACGCTGCAACATTCTGCTGCATACAGTTTATTTCACTAGACTGCAATTTTATACACAGGATGAAGGGGGTTCCAGATAACACATATATAGATTACTTCCTGTACTGCAGAAGGACCAATTTTTTTTTACATCGTATCATAATACCCTATCATTAAAACATTATTCAGTGAATTTTTTTCCCAACTACACATAGACGGAGATTTACCACACACACACGGTGCAAGAATGTCTTCGTAACATACTGGAGTCACAAGGTGTGAATCTAAAATATATTGGTGATTAGAACACTATAAAAGCACCGCGCCCATGGCGCAGTGGCCGCATTTGATTAACCCTCGTCTGGACCCGGCCGTTCGGAGGTGACCTCCTGGATACCTGGCAGCAGCTTTTCACTGTGATTTCAAAAGAAATCTTTAATTAAGAACCCTAATTTCACAATTCTAAAACGCCTGCCCTCAAGTGTTTCATTCTCAGAAATGGGACATTTAAAAACACATCGTCTTTAAAACGAGGAGAATAAACCCAACCCTCCTGTAGCGGGAGGGCTGGGGCTGTGATATTAGATTTCGTAGAAACCTAAGGAAGCCTGGATGGGAAGTGGAAACGAACAACGAACGACAAAGAGACGGAACATTTGCTGTAGAACTGCCGGGATTCCCCTGCCCCTCCGGCTCTGAGGATGAACTCTGCCCGCGTCGGGAAACGATGCCAGCGAGTCAGAGAGCGAGGCTGCTCATGTGCCCGTTCTGTGCCGCGGCGGGCAGCGGGGTGCGGATCAGTTAAATAAGAAACAGAGCCGCCAGCCAGGAGCCGCACACCACACACGCAACGGCTCGGAACCGCCGGCCCCGGCTCCCGGCTCCCGGCTCCCGGCCTTTCCCCCGAAGTTTGAGAATGTTTGAAAAGTTCAATAAATAGTAGAAAAATAACCCTTTCCTTAGAAATTCTGAGATGCATCGCTGCAGCTGGGCGTGAGTTCCGCACAGCGATCGCGGTCTCCAGGGCTGCGGGGACACGCGGTGGGCCCGGGGTGCTGACGGCCAGCGCCCTGTCTCTCAGCCCCCGGCCGATGAAGGAGCTTGAGCCGGCTCCCGCAAGCGCACCTCGGCCGGCTGCCCCGAGAGTCCCGGCTCCTGGCGAAGCTCTGCCTTCAGCTCCGCCCGCGAGCGAGGCCAGGGCCGCCCATCGGCCCGTCCGCGGCTTCCTCCACGGGCCACCGTCCAGGCCCACCGGTCCGCACACGTCCGCGGGCAGGAGGTGGGGTCACCTGCTCTGGCCCGGCTCCCGCGCCAGGGCTGTCTCGCCGTGGCCTCACGCTGCCCCGCGCCCACCGAGGTCAGCACTCCGCGTCCACGGTGTGCACGGTCACGGCCGCCTGCAGGCAGTGGCTGTGGTGTGGGTGGCAGTGGTGGAACTTGTGGCTCAGGAGCGCTGCGGTCTGCGGCGGGGCGTCCAGGTCCAGGTCCTCCTCGTGGTTGCCCACGTCCACCCCCGCCGACACGGGGTCGTTGTTGCCGGGCGGATTCTCGCTGTCCTCCTGGGGGCTCATGGTGCTGTAACCTAGGAGGGGGACAGAGGGGTTCACGTGAGAGGTGTGGTGGGGGGCGGCAGCCGAGGACACGGCCCAGGCACCTGTCTCTAACCCAGGCCGGCACACACTTGCACGTGTCAGCTGGTGCTGGAGAAACTTACTTTGACAGATCTAGAGCCAACAGATTTTTCTAAAAACAACTACATCACAAATGCATAATTTTTGTGTTTTGATTTTTGGGACAGGGTCTCTTGATGTAGCCCACTCAGGCCTCAAACTCCAGGTGATCCTCCTGCCTCAGCCTCCCCAGTGCTGGGATCACAGGAGTGTGGCACCACACCCGGATGCATGATCATGTTGGACAACTGAGGAAGGATGGAGGACAGCAAAAGAAACGGAAGCTCTCACTCCAGACCCCCAGGCCAGCAGGACGGAAAGCAGAAACCATCCTCCCCGGCCTGTCACCCTCAGAGAAGCAGGCCCTCTTCCTCCCGCACTGCTTCCTGGAGAGTCGGCAACAGGCATCAGCCAGGGAAGGTGCAGAGTAGGACCTAGCCCTGCCGGGATGCCGCACACCAGGAGGGACAAATCTGGAGGTCACCCCTGCCCACCCTGTCAGCTACCGCATCCCCATTCGTGTGTAACTGCGAAGCAGGTGGTGACATCCACCTTGCAGGGAAGGAAGTGAGCAGAGGGGCGGGGGCTGCCCAGACTCAGCACCTGGCAGAACCCCGGCCATGGACACAGGGCAGCTGCTCACAGAGCCGGGCTGCATCTCTGGAGACAATGGCAAGAGCTAATTTCAGCTGGAGAAGTGAAGCATCACATTCTTATTTCAGTGGGGCTTATGTGGATGAATAGGAGTTTGACTGGTGGGTAGACGAGAAGAACAGGGTGACCCCAGGCAGGAGTGTAGAAAGGGAGGCCACACCTGTCCTGGGCTCGGCTGTGACCAGTGGAGGCTAGAGGACAGGGCAGGGAGGTGCAGGACTGTGGTGCAGTGTGCCAGCGGTGTGACGTCCTTGGAGAAGGTCGCCATTTTTGGGCTAGGGGCTGGGACACTGGCGTCATCACCCAGGGGGAACAGACTGCAGCTGGATGTCTCAGTACCAGCAGTGTGACGCCTGCACGGTGAGGCCCGTCAGAGGCTGGACCTCAGTGACCACGTGCAGGCGCAGCTGAGCCACTCCGAGGCAGTTCTGCTGAGTGGCTGAGGTGTCCAGGCTGGGCTTGAACTTGGGATCCTCCTGCCTCAGCCTCCAGAGTGCTGGGACTCCACGTGTGCGCCCCTGTGCCCGGCATGCACTCACTCAGTGTGTCTGTGTCCTCGCTCTTGGTGGCCTGCCCGGGGCAGTGGCCCCTCGTCTGATCCAGTGAGGAAGCCACGTGGGTGCTCGGGGGCTTGGCCCAGGCTCGTGGCTGCTGGGGGGTCTGAGTGGGCTCCCCCAGGCCCTGGGGCCGCTCCACTGGAGACTTGGGGCACCCTCGCGCCTCCCCTTACTGCTCTCCGAGAAGAACGCCAGCGGGGGCCCCCCGAAGCCAACCCCTCATTCTACAGCCGTTCCACCTAATTTCCCAGTGGTGAGGCCCCCGCAGCTTCCTGAGTTCAAAGTCTCCCGGAACCTGCGCTGGCGGAGCAGGCGGCGCGGCGGGGCGGGCAGCAGAAGGACGGCCCCGCTTTCCCACGGCGCACCTCCGGCTCGCTGCTCAGCGGAGGGAGACAGCGTCCCGACTCCGGGGAGGACGCACTACTGAGACACAACGGTCTGCTGACGCTGTGAAAGGCGGTGGAGACGATCTAAGGGAGAGACAGGCTCCAGGAAGGAGGCCAGGTGTGCATAGAGAGGCCCAGAGCTCGGATCAGGCATTTGCGCTTTGGCTTTCTGCTTCTGTTTCTCTTTATTTATCTGACGGTTGCTAGGAGACCAGCAAGCGCCTCCTGGGACTCCCACGCCATCTAGTGGCCACGATGAGTAGCCGCAGGAGGCTTGGCGTCTACAGGTGACCGCTTCCCCTCAGACTGAGCTCAGCACTTGCCTTCAAGCTCTTCCGAACTGGCCAAGGACGAGGGGCGCGTCCCCTTCTCCAGGAGAACGCTGCTGCTCAGGGCACACGTGCGGGGCGCTCCGCTGTTCCTTTGCGCACGCTGGGCGAGTCCTCTCCCGCTGGCTGCTGCCCCAGCCCTGCTGGGGTTTCCGAGCCGCGCCCCGACACGTGCTCACAAACAGGCTGGCGGGCGAGGGCGAGCGGGCATTTTCCAAGAACACCGGGCAAACAGGCGAAGCCGAGGCACGCGGGCAGCCCCCCGGGCGGTCCCACCTGCGGGGGGCACTTTCCATGTAGCTTGCTGACCTCAGCCCTCACTCTGGGTCACCGCCCGGAGCCGCACCCGGCGGCTCGGCTCACACCTTCCCGCTTGCTTCTGCGCCTCGCCAGCGGGCGCTCGGCGGAAATTCACCTGCACCTGGATCCAGCAGGCCCAGGGCCGGCCTGGGCCACCCCAGGGGCTTCCGGGTCCACTGGCGACGGAGGGGGGCATCCCCGCTTCTCCCGGTCTGCCCAAGCAGGTTGCTGCAGTCCGTGATGGCTCAGGACTGTGCGCGTTCCTTTAGGGTTTCCTCCGGGGCAGGGCGGCAGGACAGCGAGGTTAACCCAGGGCTCCAGGTCGAACATGATTTCCTTTAATCCTTGTGACTTCACTAGGGAGGGCTTTTTAATCCTTTTTTTTTCTGCTATTATTGGGGACTTGAACCTAGTTATTATTTGCGATATTCTTGGGGACCTTCGTACTGAGCTACACCCCCAGTTCTCTTTATTTCTGAGACAAGGTCTCTCTAAGTCACTAAATTGCCCAGGCTGGGCTCAAACGTGTGATCTTCCTGCCTCAGCCTGTGCCACCCATCACAACCAGCTTCTTAATCTTATTTTTAAGCAGCAGGAAACTAAAGTCCAAAGTAACTCACTAAGGTCTCAACAGCTTGTTAAAAAACAAAACAAGCGGGGAGCTGGAATTCACCTGCAGCTGGGCTTGGCCCTGTCTCTCGAGGTCCTGCCCTGTGCCATCTGCCTGGCAGAAATGACAAGTCTCCCACCTCTGGCCCCCTGCACTGAGCAGACGTGCCCCCCGGTCACCCCCCACGACGCGCAGCGGGCAGCTTTTCCTCCAACCGTGAGTGTCGCTTATTTTTGGTGTCACAGGGCACTGATGCGATGCCCCCCTCCGGGCCCACCCTGCGGGTGCAGGGAGCCGGCAACGTGCGGCGGCTCCTCAGCTCGGCCAGCGGCGTCCCCTCCTCGGTGCCTGTCTGCCTGGAAACTACTTTCCACACTGTGGGGACAACAGGAACCCAATTACTGTGAAAACCGGACCCCAGCCCTGAGCCGGTGCCTTGGTTTCCAGGTACGGCCGACCCTCTCCTCCCAGCCTGCTCCGCACGCCCGGGACGGGGCCCCTCAGAACCCCAGCCTGGCACTGCTGCACCGGGTGGGGTCGGGGGGCGCTCAGTCCTCTGACGGGAGTGATCTCTGCTGAGCTTTAGTAGCCCTGGGCCCGCTTCATCATGCAGAGAGGCCGGGTGCTCCTGGCAGAAGGGATCCGTGCAGGTTCAAAGGGGTTTTTTGGGAAAAAAGCCAAGAAGTCAAGAAACTGAAAAATTTAAGCTCCGCGTAGGGTCTCCATAGAAACGTGAAGGCTGCAAGCCGGTGGGAACGCGGCGCTGCACAGCAGACCCGGGCCGCCCCAGCTTCCCACAGGGAGCCCCAAACCTGGCAGTCGGGGAGGCCCGGCAGAGCAGCCGCGTCCAGAAGCTTAAGTACATTATTTACGCATTCAAGACAAGGCCTGGTTCTGGGAGGAAAACAACCATTTCTGGAACATTCGATCACTGGCTGAAAAAACAGAAAGCTCCGTGGGACAGAGGCAGTGACCCCCGAGAGCAGGGCGCATCTGTGGTCCTCTGTGGCCCCGAGCGGGCGACCCGAGCGGGCGAGGAGCCAGGCTCTGCTGCGTTGCGGGTCCGGCGCAGGGACCCCGGGTCCCAGGCTTGCTTGGCCTGTGTTGCGCTGTGTCCACGGAACCCTGCGCCTCGGTGCGCGCTGCTGCTCTCGCCTCCGACATCCTGGGCTCCTAATTTCCCAATCTGAAATCCCAGCTCTCAGGAGGCTGAGGCAGGAGGACTGCTGTGAGTTCGAGGCCGGCCTGGGCTGCATAGTGAGACCCTGTCTCACCCCTGCCCCCAGTCAGTGCCGTTGCTTTGCTGGCAGGGTCTTACCTGTGCCTCCCCAACAGAGCCCCGAGGAGGGCACAGAATGCTGCAGGGCAGCCCAGCATGGACACTTGGTCCCCAAGAGTGCGTGGCTGGGGAGCGCTCCCCAACATGGAGGTCCTCCTCAGGGGAGCTCTGCCCAAGCTCCACCCCTCGCTGCTTCAATTTTGAGACATGGTCTGGCTGAGTTGCCCAGGCTGGCCTCCAACCTGCAGTCCTCCTGCCTCAGCCTCCCAGTGCCAGCACCACCAGGTGGGGTGGCTCTGATGTTCACACTGCTGGCAGGACCGAAGGGGACGCTGCCCAAGTGGGGTGGTGGGCGGGAGCTGTGCAGCCCGAACGGCCCTTCGTGGAGCAGACCTGGAAACCACCTGCCCCTTGGGGCACCCGGCTCAGGCCCGGGTGCCGGGGCAGCGTCCGCCAGGTGCCCCTTCTGTGGGAACCGTGACTGATGGGAACCCGGGATAGGGTGGAGGTGGAGGTGGAGGTGAGTACCCCCCGGGCGGCCCGGCCCGGCCCGGGCCCGTCTGCTCGTCTTACCGTGGTCACTTTCTGTCCCTGACCGGCCCCAGTAGCGCCGCCGCCTCTCGGGGCTGTGTGCGTGGCGCTCGATGACCGCGGCGATGAAGCGCGTGTTGCTGACTGTGGAGACCAAGCACAGGGAGTCACCCTTGGGCGCCCCCGCCCCCCAGCCCTCTCGCTGAAGCTGGCCTCTTTCCACCCGGACAGGGCTTTCTCCCGAGTCGTGCCCGCTGGCTAAGCGGCGGAGAGAGATGAAATCCCCTCTGAAACGCCGTGGGAAATGAGCACGGACCAGAGGCGAGGGCTGGGCGGGGCGCTCCAGGCCCCAGCACTCCATGCCGAAATGAAAACTGAGAAAGGCAAAATCCTGCGATTTTCTAAAACAAAGCCAAGACCTCCTCTGTTCCCAGCGAGAAAGGGAGGGAACGAAAGCCCCGCGAGTCAAGGCTTCTTCAATTTTAATATGCACCAAAAGGACATAGGACCGCATATGCGCTTGGGCCCAGCGCCCCGCTGACGCCCCGAGGCGGCAGGGCGGGTACTCACTGATGCCCCTGTCCTCGTGGCTGTCCTCGTCCCTGTCGTCCCTGTCGTGCTCCAGGCTGGACATTCGCACAGACATTTCTGCATGCATCGGAGAGACCCATGACTAATCACACGTGCAGCCCGCGTGAACACCCCACTGAGGGCCGTCAGCCGGCCGGCCTTGACAGCCTCCCCGGGGGGCCGTGCGGGGTGGGGCGCAGCTCGGGGTGGCGCGCACCAGGCCTGGGCTCCAGCAAACCCCAAACCCAGGCCGAACCAAAGGAGGGGACCCCAGCTGGTGCCCCGCCTGCCTGTACAGGGGAGGGAGGAAGAGGGAAATACAGGCACGTGCAGTCGGCTTCTGAAAAGAGGGGCGAGGAACAGACAGCAGACGGGAGAGGGACACGGGCCCCGGACCTCGACTGTGGAGGAAGTGGGGTGTCTGCTGCCCCGGAACCCGCCCGAGGCACAGGGCTGTCACCCTCCCTGGCTCTGCACGGGGTAGGGTGTGCCGTGGCCACGGAAGGGCCGCAGTCACAGGAGACAAACTCGTGCCCGAGGAAGCTGGCTTCCCCCATCTCCAGGGTCTGCCGCAGCTCCCGGCTGCCGGTAGCTGTCCAGGCCGCCCCCACATGCACACAGCACCTTGGCCCACGGCATCGCGGCTGCGAGCACATGTGAGGACAGGTGCATGGAGCGGCAGGGACGGCAAGCGCAGTGCAAGGGACATGCAGGTTCCCATGCAGCTCGAGGCCCGCTGGCTCAGGACAGGACCCAGGGTGTGGGGATGCTAGGGAAGGGAGGGGATGGGCGGCCCCCGGGACGACGCCCACGAGGCTGACGAGGCAGACTGCTCTCATCTTTTGTTTTTTGTTTGCTTGTTTGCTGTCTGAGAAAAGGTCGAATGTAGTTCAGGCTGGCTCATTCTCCTGCCTCAGCCTCCTGGGTGCTGGACTACAGGCATGCACCCCCACACCTGGTTACTCTTATTTGGTACAGCGACCACTGGCCAATGTCCTTCTTGCCTTGGGACAACCTAGGGGAGGCCGCTACCTCCTGGGGAGGGGCTGAGGTGGCGCCCTGGGGCCCGCTCTGCACGCACCTTGGGCCGCGAGGGGCGACATGTGCTGGTGGCTGCGGCGGTGGATCTGGTGGCGGTAGGCGTACACGGCCAGGACCAGCACCATGATGCAGCCCATGATCCCTCCGGCCACGGGGCCCACGGGCGCGCTCTTGATCATGTTCAGTGAGATCACCTCGTCACCTTCGGCAAACACAAACGCAGTCCCCGTTAGGCCCCGGTGGCAGGAGGGTCCTGGAGGGGCGCAGGGGCGGCAGTGGGGCTTCTGCAGCTCCTGGTCCCTGACAGCAAGCAGGGCTGCCGGCGAGCAGATGAAAGTCGCTCCGTGCTCGGGGCCCCAGGCCCCCTGGACAGCATCCGGGCACCCTGCCACCTGCTGAAATGAGGGCAGGAGGAGCCCCAAGTGCGTGTCAGACAGACCAGCTTCGGAGAGCACGGGCTTCCTCCCTCTCCAGAGGGGACGGTGCCCAGGTGGCAGACGGCAGGAACCGGGGCGGAGCCGCCCTGACCACGAGATCCAGCTGCACCGTAGCGCCTCACTGAGGCATAAGAAGGGCGCGGGCAGAGGGGCCGGCCCCGACCTCCGCACCCAGCGGGGCCCGCTCTCCCGGTGCGGGGGGACAGAGCCACGGCCCCTAGCCCGGGGGACCCCAAGCGGAAACCACTGCACTGCGCGGCACACTGAGCCGTCTGACGGGCGGGGTGCCACCCGAGTCTGACCCAGGTGCCCCCGGGCCACCGCTCAGAGGGCGAGGAACTGAAGGCGTCACTGTTGACGCCCCGCCTGCCAAGGCCAGCCCTGGGGCTCCTTGCGCAGACGCGGACAGCATCTCATAACGGCCCGGCCCTGCGGCCTTGGCACCATCCCCCCACATGCAGACGCCCCGGGGTGGTGCTGAGTCCACGCGCCCGCGTCCCTCAGCCCGGCCGGGGACGTTTCGAGGGACGTCGGGGGCGGCGGACAGCGATGTCGTGGCCACTCTGCGGTCGCCAGCCTGCGCCTGTGCTTAGCACCGGCCCAGTGGGAATGGACCCCAGGGGAAGGACAGCTGCCAGCTGTCCCTGCAGCGTGCGTCGGGCCAGCCTGGACGCCGAGCCCCAGTCGTGGCTCTCCAACAAAAGACCTCGAGCTAAGGAGCCAGGGGAGCCGGGCAGGGGGTCCTCGGAGGTTTCTGTCCTGGGCACGGGCAGGAAATGCGCCCCTCAGGAGCGGAGCCGTGCTGGCCCCTAGTGAACATACCTAGGGCACCCAGGTCATCCACGTAGGGGCTCTTGGCCCCCACGATGCCCCCGAAGCACTCCTTCTGGGGCGCGCAGTAGGACTTGTCCAGGTGGGTCTTGCCGTCGCTGTCCACCACGCACCACTCGCAGTCCAGCACCCCGAAACAGTCCCTGCCAGGACAACGTGTGTGTTCCCGAGGGCGAGGCCTGAGCCCGTGGCACAGGGTCCTGGGGGTGCAGGTTCCCAGCCCCCAGGGGTAACACTGCTCTTTGCAATAAGACGCTGACATCTGCACCTGGGGGACGCAGTACTGTCCAAAACCAGGTTCAAGCACCCACTGGGAGTGGCCTGAGGCTGGCTGCTGGCCTCTCATCCCTGCGTGGGAGCGATTGTGAGGTGGTACAGTCAAATCCACCCAGGAACGACTAGGAGACTTAAACAGATTCCCACACCGCCAGCTTCCTGTGTGCTTAGCGTGTTATGTGGACAGTGCAAGGGATCATGTTCCCCTGCCTGAGAACATGCCAAGCCAGGTGCAGTGGTGCGTGCCTGCAACCCCAGCATACAGGAGGCTGAGGCAGGAAGATCACCGTGAGTCTGAGGCCAGCCTAAATTACACAGTGAACCCTGTCCCAAACAACAGAAACACACCAGGAGGCCTGGCTCTCTCCCTGCTTGTACCTGGCTTCATCAAAGGGCTGTGGAAACCCAGGGAATCAGACCCGAAAGGCCGCGTGACCTTCGGGCACAGCAGCCTCGAGTGGGAGGCGCAGGGGACCCCCTCGCCTGCCCACCCCCTCGGCCGCTCACCCGCTCTCCAGCCGCTGGCTGCACCTGCTGTTGACGCACTGGTGCAGGGCGTCCTGCAGGCCGGGGTCGATGGCCGTGTACGTCACCGGCTCCTGGTGGACCTCGCAGCTCGGGTTCCTGCGTGGAAGCGAGGCCCAGGTCAGGCGCCGCCTCCACGGTGCTCACGCAGCTCTGGCCTGGCGCGGGCTGGCGCCCGTCACCCCTCCTCCGCACCTCAGCTCGTCAGGCAAACGCGTGTGCGGGCCCCTTAACACGCAACAAACCGAGCGTACCTCCCCGCCCAGCCCCTCTCCGCGGCACCCGCTGCCCACAGCTGAGCGCCGCCCTTCCAAGCGTTCGTCCTACGCTCAACAAGGGATGCCGAGTCCACACACACACTCTGCCTCCAATCCCCGGGAAGGGGAGCACGAAGCAGCGCATTTCCCTGTCTCAGCATCAGTAAGCGATGACGTATCCTGTGTGAGTGCCAGGCTCCTGTGTGTTCATCTCAAAACTAAGTGTGAGGCCCAGTGCGCCATAAACGCTTGTGATATCCTCATTTTGCACACGCTCCGAACACTTCTACCGCATTTAAATTTAAGCCTCACACCGATCACATTTGACCTCTGGCCAGTGACCGGGTCCACCCATCGTGGGGAGGGCTCGCTTTGCATTTCCCAACCCAACACGAGGCAAGTCTACAGCGGCCTCCATGGTGCTTTTGTGTGTGCGTGTGTGTGTGAACGCAGGCACCTGAGGACTGTATGTGTGTCCGCCCCCGCCCCGACAGTTACCGGCTCTCTGCGTTGGTGAGGTTGCCAGTGCACTCGTTGACCTCCAGGGGGCACTCACAAGGACACTCGCATTCGTTTTGTTCCATTCTGCAAAGCAAGAGGTTTCAAGGCAGAGCGTCCACGACTGTGCAGTGCACCAGGGACGTAAGACAACAACTGACGTCAAAATAAAGACATCAAACGTCACAGGGGAGGGTTTAATGCGCATCGGGCCTCCGTCTCTGCCCTATGGGCAGCGGGATGCAGCGGACACCCTAGCTCTGAACTTCCCTGCAGGCGGGACTCCGCTTCCCTCGGACGCCCTGCCTGTCCTGTGCATGCTGCAGGGGCCACTTACAGGGCATCGGCTAAGCTATTCACCAGCGTGGCACCGCCTTACCGGTGACAGTTGAGACAGAGCCGGTCCACCATGCTGCACGCACAGAAGGCGAGCGAGTCGCAGGTCTCGTTGACGATGCCGACGAACGCGTTGGTGCCTGGGATCCTCGCCAGTCTGTATTTGGAGCAGTGGCTGCCGTGCACGAGGTTGGTCAGGTCCCCCTGCGGGGCGGGTAGATGTCAGGGTGACAGCAGTGCACAGACGCAGCCCCAACCCCCAAGGATCGCCCGAGATCGTTTTTTGATGGAAGAGGTGGTAACCAGTCATTGGTGCGCCTAAACCACTGATCAGAGATCATTCCTGTTTAACTGTGCATATTATATATTCTTTTGTCTAGGCTTCTACGAATATAAATTTGTGCAGCTGATTCTTTTTATAATCTGCTTTGGAAAAACATAACCATATATCAGAAAAAGGAAAACTTCAAGAAGCAGTGAAAAAGTTTTCAGGTAAAGAACAGTGTAAAACTTATTCAGAGACAAACTGAACCACAAAATGCACAGTTTTTTTTTTGGTTAACCATCTTTCTCCTTCTGGAATACTGAAACTACTAAAAAGCCAAAGCCCCTTTAAGAGGTTAATATCCTGCCCCCAGAATACCTCAACAAGCCAACTAAAGCAAGTATCAGGAAACCAAAGATTCAAAAGCAGCGCCGGGATGCTGTGTCACTGTCTTATTTGCACATGTCATCTACCCTGGGCAAGTTACTGAACCCCTTGCTTGGTTCTGAGTTGCTGAGCTCCTACGCATACGTGAGGTGGAGACAGACAAACCCTGAGAGCCTTGGCATCGACTGGGTGCTTTCCACAGTGCAGCTCCAGCCATAAAGAAATTATTTCAATTCACTCAACTAAAGCTTGTCTTTCTGAAACATCTCTACTGCAGTGTCTTGGTTCTGTCTGCCGGAGACTCCAGAAACAATACAAGGTAGTATGGGAAAATGTGATGTATTTAAATAAGGAGCGAGTGGTTACAGTGAAAGTCGTCCCCTCTGGCTTCAAACACACTCATCCCAGTTCTCACTGCTTTCCGCAGCAGCTCTGTAGTCCTCTTCCATCAGTGTCTTTAGCTGTCCTGTCCCAGGTGCCTCCATGTCCTAATTCAATTCAAAACATTTCCCTCTCACAGTCATTTTGATTTTGGGCAAGAGCCGGAAGGCGCACCGGGCCAGATCTGGAGAGTAAGGTGGAGCAGACACCAGCATATGTTCACCAGCCTGGTCTGCCGTGACACTGAGCAGCGGCGTTCACTGTATTTCTGATCACACCTCGGACAGACCCCCAGGAGAGAGCACTCCGGAGCTGCTGCAGACAGTGGCCAGGACGGTGGGATGAGTGTGTGCACAGCAGGGGGCGGATTTTGAGGGGGATTCCCGGCAATGTGGCTTTTGCTTCAATAGATTTAAAGAATTTAAACGTTTTCTGTAGCTTTGATCACCCTTGTAGTAGAAATGGCGGCAAACGCACGGAAGGAGCCAGACTTTCACGGCCTCTCTCTGATTATGCAAGTCTGTCACTGTCTCCTTGAGACAGTGTCACTCAGGTCTGAAGTGGTCATGAGGACTGCCCCGCCTGGAAGACCCGACTCTATTAATATATCCATTCTTAAACTGTCTTCCATGGGACAAGTGCTGTTTGTCACTGACTTCTTGACACTCAGTTTAGGATTTTCAGTTCAGCTCACACTTTAATTACATGTTAAATGACTGATACAAACACCAATTCTAAATTATAAAAATAAAAGTCTCCTGCAAGTAACTTTCTGAACGTTAGTGCTGTCATTCCCCATTCTAATCTTTCCCAATTAGAATATTTAGAAGCTAATGTCTTTAAGATCTCCAACCATAACCAGGTGAGTTCTGCAGGAACTCAAATTCTGCAGAGTAGCTAAGTTGCAACAACAAAAAAAAATTTTTTTTTGTCTCTTTGAGACAAGGTCTTGATATGCAGTTCAGGCTGGCCTTGAGCTCACTTTGTAGCCCAGGCTGGTCTCGAACTTGCAACGATCTTCCTGCCTCAGCCTCCCAAGTGCTGAGATTACAGGCATGTGCCACCATGTCCAGCAAGAAATTCTTTGCAGATGACAGTGACCATGTGCTGAGCCCCTTTGGGCTGAGGAATGGAGGAGGCTGGGGCTCACCACGAGACCTGAAGAGGGGGCACCGGGTACCATTTGTGTGTGTCTCACGGTGGGGACCGACTTCAGCAGACACTTCGAAGACAGATCAGCTGAGGCTTTATACAAAGCCCACACAGAATACCAAACGCCGGACTAATGTGCTCCCTCTCGAGTCTGGGCTTTTGAGCCCATAATTACCAAACTGGGGGCTGACCAAGGTCCTGTCCTTTCCACCTTTAGGTGATGCAGAGGTAATGAAGCAGGAGGGTGAGACACCCAGTCACCCTTCACTTCCTGTTTCATCACGGGGGGGCCCCAAGGGCGCCACGACCCAGCTTACCGCGAGGCTGGTGTTGAACTTGTAGAACCTCTGCACGGTCCGGTCACTGAAGCTGTTGCACAGGTTTTTCTTCACGAAGTTGGGGTGGTTCAGGATGTCATTGGCCACCAGCGGCTCCTGCCGAGGCCAAAGAGAAAGGGGGCGGGTGCCGTGTAAGGGCCGCGGGCTGCCGGGAGCCCCCGCGGGCCGAGCCCCAGGTACCTTGTGGGTGATGTGCTGCTGCTCCACCGGGGCGTGGCCCTTGGGGTCGATGAGCGTCGGGTGCGCCACCAGGTAGCCCCTGTCCTCCATGATGAAGCACCTGGTGGACAAGCAACACCGTGGGCTGCGCTGCCTTCACACAGCGCTGCCCCGCAAGGACCTCAGGTTCTCCACGAAAACTCGTTGAAACGAAGGAAGAGGCACCTTCTTGGGGTGGCCGTCAGCTGGGACTCGGGTTCGGTGGTAGCTCCACCCCCCACTGTGGGCCCCTGTGTGCCTGCCCCATCCAAGGGCCACAGACCCTAAAATCTTTTGCAAGGGTGTACAAGCAGGAAGTCTGTTCATTTTTAGGGGAAGGAGACCCAGAAGGAATAGACTTGAGCACTTCCGGGCATAAAGGTTAAGGAGACTGTGTAATTTCTCCCTTCCAAGGTAAACACATGTGCAGTACCACTCAGGGCCCGTAAGGAAGCAGGTCTGGTGGAAACACCGTTCTCTTCACTGTCATCTCCTTTGCCAGGGGCCCTGCAAGGCCCCGTTAGGGAAGGGCCCACATGAGATCCAGCAGTGGCATGAAGTGCGGGCCATGAGACGGAACCAGGGAAGCTATTTTTAAAAGCAGCCTATGCGGAATCAAGGGAATGCCCTTGCTTCAGTCAGACACACGCTTGTGAAATACAGGAGGCAAAGACTTCTAGCTCCATGAGCCTCTTTCTGGGAAAATGTGAATGGACCCGTCTAAGCTGCTGGCATCTCATGAAGACTCTGGTTTAATGACCAGGTGAACATCAAAAGTACTACCTGCCAGGGCCCTCTGGTCGTTCCGTTACCAAAGATACAGGGAGCCTCTAATTACTGACTTCTAGGGAAACAGGGCTTTTGGAACCAGGTACCACTCATGGCTCTTGTTATGTGCTGTATTTTTTCAAATAATAAACACCATGCATCTTAGAAAAAGGAAAATGAAAAAGAACAAATACCTAAAGAGAATACTCAGGCCATCGACTCAATTAATCTCCTTCCCTCCCTTCCTCTGCTCTTCCCTTCTTCCTTCCTTCCTTCCTTCCTTCCTTCCTTCCTTCCTTCCTTCCTTCTTTTTTCCCTCCTTCTTTCTTCCCTCCTTCCTTCCTTCCTTCCTTCCTTCCTTGTTTCCTTCTTTCCTTCCTTTCTTCCTCCCTCCCTTCTCCCTCCCTGCTTTGAGAAAGGGTCAAACTTGTCCAAGTCAGCCTTGAAGTTGCTCTGTAGCACAGGCTGGCTTGAAACTTGTGACCCTCCTGCCTCAGCTTCCTGAGTCCTGAGATAACAGGTATACACAACCACGCTTCATTTCAGTTTGTTATCCTGGCTGTGACTAAGTGGTTGCCATTTAGCTGCTGTCTGACATCTTCCCTTTGTCTTGTCCAGAACAGGAAGTGGAGCCCCCAAGGACTTACCTTATTTTGTTGCCACCATCTTGGTTACACACTGGCAGCAGGTCCATGAGAACCTTGTAGAAGTATCTGAGTGTGAAGTCAATGCCCATCACCGCCACGGTGTGCCCGGAAGACAGCTGTGAACTTCATGTGGCAACGAGAACAAGAGGGAGGGTTTACTTACAGGTAAAAGATGTGTGTAGTCACAGGGACGTCGTATAGCCCCAGAAATCATTCCCACAGCTCCTCCCCATTTCTCATGTCTATGAAACGAAGTTACTTTTCTTGGGTGGTGGTACTAGGGATCCAGAGCCTTCACACTGAGCGACCCACCCCCGTTTAGAATTCTGAGGCAGCAGCTCGCTAAGTTGCCCAGGCTGGGCTGGCACTTGTAATCCCCTTCCCTCAGCTTCCCCAAAGTGGGCTCACAAGCCTGCACCATCACGACTGATTCCATGAGAGAAGACATTACAACCTAAGTATACCTTTCTGACAAGACCAGCCCAAAAGGTGGGCAGCTGTGGAACTGGCTGTTCACCTGTGCTGCAGTCATTCTGGAAGTGGCTGGGTGGTTGGGCAAAAATATGGAGGCGAGCTGTCAGGGTGGGAGGCGGAAGCCTTGGGACCATGGTCACGTCCAGCAGTTCCCTGGGAGAAGGACCCTGGGCTGCCCTCTCACTACTGCCTCCATCTTAGGTCGGGAAACAGAGCTCTCACAAAGGCGGGCTGACCGTGAGAGGTCACGTGAGACTCAGTCTATCTTTCCCTTCACAGCACTAGGGCTGACGGCCAAGCAGTTCCTATTGAGGACTCGACAGGCTCCTGGGCCCGTGCTTTGTCCTTTCTGTGACAGAACCCTCAAAGGAGCTGGGCAGGGAGAGAGAGCGCCGGGCAGTGCTCGCACATTAGGAGATGTGACGCCTGGTGTTGGCCCTGCCGTTTCTGGTGAGCCGGCTTTGGGGTCGCCCCCAAACCTTTCTAAGTTTCAGTTTCCTGGCTGGAAGATGGAGACCACCACAGTGCCCCTACCTGGGGTGAAGTGAGATGTGCATTTACAGAGCTTAGCAAGCTGCCCACATCCCAGCAGGCTCCCAGGAAGAAGTCGCTCAGGAGCAAAGGGCCACGAGGCAAAGGGCCACACCCGGTGAGGCGGAATCTGTCACTCTGAGAGAACACGCACTTCAAGAACTGCCAGCCATGGCCGGAAGCGTGGACTCGCCACTTGGACCCCTGGCGCTCTGTGATCTGTGCTTTACCTAACATGCGTCTGTTCAGAGCCACCATTTGTCACCGTCCGCCCGGCTGGTGTCTTTACACAGAAAACACCAGAGGAGAAACCACCAAACCCTGATTCTCGCCCACGGCCCCCCTACGAGGACTGGGATGACGAGGGCGTGGCCGGGGTCACACGGTGGGGAGCCGGTGACGCAGGGGTGGGGACCCGGCATCTCCAACTACTTCCCGGCCAGGAAGCAGAGCTGCGGGGCATCGAGGGTTTCTGGGCAACTCTACTCGTTTAATTTCCTATGAAGAAACCGAGAAGGATTCACAGCTCTCACAGTTTGTGAATGAAATGAATGAGGCTCAGCACGGTCACGAGGTTGATGAGACTGATCATGCACCTTGTACCTGCGGCACCGAGACCAGCACCCAGGTCTGGCTCTTTTGCAGCACTACAACTGCCCCAGTGGGAAACAACCTGTGAGCTACGTTAATTCTGCTCTTACCCTTCCTGGACATGGCTGCTGTCCGCTCCCGCTGTGATCACTATGCAACAGCAGGCGTCTCGCCCTTGTAAGTCCAGACTCCTACTTTTACCTGCATTTCAGGTAGCTATCTGGTCACCATAGCAACTCATAAAGAATCTCACAGAAAAATCCAACCAAACCTACATTTCTCAGCACGTCAGACCAGACTGCCTGCCATCCCCATGAGAGATTTTTCACTGCCAAAAACCAGAAACACCCAAACAACCAGGCCTGTGGTCAGCAGCTGTTCATCATCACAGCAGCTGGACTCCCTGAGGCGCGACGCTGGGGTCTCAGGCCACTAACAGAGCTTAGGGGAGGCTGCGGCAGAGCCATGTGAGCAACTGGTGGGCAATCCACCCATCACAGCCTCCGCTGCCCGGGATCAGAAGAGAGACAGGACTTGTGGCCTAAACTCTGCTGACTGCAAAATGCGCGGCTTTAAACAGCAAAGCCACGCTCAGTGCAGCAAAGGATTCAAAGGCCGAGGCCCAGGGACTGCACCTCAGGCAGGGATGAGGCAGACACCTGTTCCGGAAACACAGATTTGGGGGTGACTCAGAATCCGGGGATCACAGTGAGATCCCTGCTTTTGTTAAACCTGTATAGGTCAAAGATGCAACAGAAAAATCACCAGAAAGCAGAGCTGAACCCAAGTTTTTCCAGCATGAGGGCTTACCATGCTTCCGGTGGACAGACAGCGTAAATATCTGTGAGTGACGAGAATTCCGCTACTCATCCAGACCCCAACTCAAACATGTGCAACCCCCGGCACAGGTGTGCAAATCTGCCCCTCCCTGCCCCCTGAACCCCACGTGTGAGGGAGGGAGCTGGAGCAGCTCCTGATGACAAGGGGAATACAAACTGCGCTTTCATTCTCCTCTATTTTAATTATATTTAAAGTCAGAATGTAAATAAAGAGCAGAATCAAAGCCCATAGGAAAACGGGGGAGAGACCTTTTGCCAAAGGGAAGGGGCCAAGGCATGGAGGGAGGGGAGGGAGGGGACAGAAGAAGGGTGCAAATGTGCCCCTGCACCAACACCCCACCGCGGATGTGACTGTTACATACCGCAAACGTGGATGCATGAAGAAACCAAAACTGGCATTAAAAAAAAGGAAAAAAAGAGCCCAGTTCTATCCTAAAGCTTCGCAATCAAGATGCTGGGATGCCGTCCATGCAAAGAAGCAGCCTTTATCTACTCTGCCTCAACCCACAGATGCTATGCAGGGCCGAGAAGCCTCACGTCCGAGGTGCACGCCCAGTGGACAGGCTGTTAGCGAAGTCAGCCAGGGCCTGCCCCGAGTGGGCGTTGCTTTTCTGTACGTGAACTATGATAATATAGGCGTAGACCACGCCCTGCAGTTGGCGGCCAGCAAGACCCCATTCCATGGAGACGCAGGCGTGCTGGTCACTCCACATGCTCTCACTCCGTTCCTGCGCCCTGTGCACCTGGACTGGAGGAATCCTACTCAGCGCCAGCCCACGGCGCGCAGTGACCCCCGCACGGGGTCGCCAGGGCACGGTCCCTGTGTGCGGCTGAGGGCAAACGGCCTTTTGAGCGTGGAAGGGATTCAACGACAGGGGCTGCTGGCCTCCCTGGGACATTTCACCAACACTGGGAGCTGACCCGCTGAGGCCTCAGCATGCAGAAGGATAAGGCACTTAGCCCTATTTTGCAGTGAGAGTGACATCGTACAGCATTCTGGGAGTATCAATTTCGAAAAAGCCCATTTATCTTTCAAGAGACGGTTTCCAGGACAAATTAAAAAACAAGCAACTCACGTGATTCTAAAGACTTAGGCCTAAACACAACAGCGATAATCCGAGGCTCTGGTGTTTCTTTCTTCATCACAAATGCTCCTGGCACGGAGAGCTCAGGCAGCGAAGGCTCCCAGGCTCCTGCTGCTGAGCCTTCCCTCAGCTAATGCAGGCGCTTCTGGAACGGCTCCGCACAGTCCAGCGCCCAGCCTTCCCTGCTCCTGCCCTGCACCCGGCACCTAAGTACCGCTCTGAGATATTTCACCTGCTCAACTCACAAGATAACCCGGTGAGCTAGAGAGATGGCAGGACGAAGCTTGGCCTCCTATTCTACTTGAGCTGAAAACTACCCCTGAGGGATCCGAAATGACTAGAAAATTAAAGTATTACCTGGATGAATGGATTGTGTGGCTGATTGTCACGACATAGCCAGCTCCTCCAACATCCAGGTAAGGGCCCGTCAGCGAAATCAACCCTGGGTTAGCCACTGCATGGAGATACCTGGTGGGGACAGAGCCAGGTAAGAGGTGCACACACCTGGGGTGGAGTGGGGGGATGGGGTGGGGTGTCAACTCCTGGGAGCGGACCACTGGGAACTCAGAATAGTTACCCTCAGCTGTGTGTGTTATATGAAACTTCAAGGTTTCTTACCTTTTGTGTCTGACTGTAGCATCAACAGAGGTTAAGGGAAAGTAAAACTCTCTTTTTAGAATACATACTGAGCTCACTGTACGTATGAGTACGGTGCAGCACAGGGGATTTACAGGCTGAATAAAAAAGGGGTTAATGAATGACCCTGTCTAGGTTTTATTCTTGGAAATCAGGCAGAAATAAAGCCCAGAAGTAAAAGGATGTTTCTGAATTTTTATGTGCAGGTCACACACGAGCTACACTCCGAAGCCATGGCCGAGTGACACAGCTGAAGCCTGTCCACTGAGGAGGACACAGCCATGCACGGCAGGAATCAAGAGCCGCGAAGGCTCGGATGACCAGGAGCAAAGCCTCTCCGTCTCCGAGTTTCCGTGAAGATGTGGAAACTTTGTGGGGAGAGAAAACCCACCAGGCTGTGGTTCACGCCACGTTTGAAAAAACTATGGGGAAACAGTTCTGCCCCCGGGAAGCGTCCTCTGCAATGTGATCGCTGTATTCATCACGTCCCCCAGACTGGGGCCACCGTGACGACAGGGCCCCTCAGACTCACCACTGTCTCCGGGTGGGATCGAACGCTTTGTCCATGAGGGAGCCGGGGTAAATTCTGAGGACGCCGCTGGGCGTTGCTATGTAACGGCGGACAATGTAAGTGTTCAGGCTGCTCATTTCCATTTGTGTCATCCATTCATCGGTGACGTGGCTGGTCGCCATGACTTCATTGCGGACAGAGAACTGGGGACAAAGGAGGGATGGCGGGGCTCCTTTAAAACTCACAAGAAAGAGCGTGGGCCACCGGCGGGCCCGCCACGCTGTCTCCCAGAGAGAAAGCAGGGCTAATTACTTCCTAAAAACCCTCCCACGGCAGACAGACACACCCAGACTTGGGGAAGACAAAAGTTCACAGAAACGGGTGGCTACTGGGAGGATCACCCTCGTCAGGCTCTCTGGGTTCAAGCAGGAAGAGCTTATGGGGAACCTGAGAGACCCACCTCCACCCACGCAGGGGCCTTCTTGGCTTTCCCCAGGGACAGGGGGCAGGAAAGTTCCACTTGTCTCCGAACTGCACCTCTACCTTGGAAATCCCAACCTGCTCCTTCTTTCTCTTGGCCCAAAGGGCTCCTTAACCTGCCCAAGGGTCACAGCTGACCGGCCTGGGCCACCCATTCTCCATGGGTCACCACCAGGATGCCCTCCCATCCCGGGAGGGGTGCCCACATGGCACTCACTTTGAGCCCCGGGTTGGCAATGAGGCGGGTGTTGTCGCTGAGGTAGGCGGTGTAGTGCTCCACCATGCGCTTGGTCTCGGGCTGGCTGAGGTGCTCGTAGGGGGACGAGAAGCTGCCAGCCGACAGCATGACGGTGGGACTCTCTGCAAGAGAGGCGACAGTGGGCCTGGAGCGCAGGACACAGCCAGGCCCGGCAAAGTGGACGCCGCGCTCAGCCCTGCAGGGAGCTCGGGGTCCTGCAGGGGGGCACAGCAGCGGGAACTCGAGGCACTTGGGGGCCTGATGGACGGTTCCACGAGGACGGGGACACCAGCGACGCCGAGCCAGGCGGGGCGGAACCTGGCCCCGAGGGAAGGTGGACCCAGGGCAGCGTCTTGTCTGCCAAGGAGGGAAATAACGGCAGGGATCTGCACAGCCACGGTGAGAGTTAACGAGTTAACACCCGCCGGGCACACGCCTCACCAGTGGGGAGTGTGCAGCACACGCAGTGCACAGGAAGTGACGGCCGTTGTGATTAACACCAGCAGCGTTGTCAGTGTCACTGAGGCAGAGGGAAGACTAACAGAGGAATCGGTGCAAAAATAAAGCTAAAACATGATATGTGCCAGGGCGGTGGCTCTACCAAAGCTGGCTTCGGGAGCCCTTGAGGGACACTGCTTTATTCCTGGTCCTGTCTGACTGGGACAGCACGGTGCCCTATTGAAGAAACAAAACCAAGAAATCTTTTTGGACTTTGTACTGTTCAAACTTGCCGTATTTTAAAAGAGTGTCACAAAGCACCACCTCAGTTAAAGTTCGGGTCATTCTGGACTAGCTCCGTCACTTCTCCACTGTGGTGTCTTGTTTCTTTGTAGCCTGGAGATTTTTTCCTCTGGTGCTGGAGATCAAACCCAACAGCTTCCCATTGACACGCATCTCCATCCTCTTTTAAAAGTTTTAAATTCGGAGGCAGGGCCTCCCTAAGTTGATAAAATGCCCAGGTTGGGCTGGAACTTGTGATCTGCCTGCTTCAGCCTCCCATGCTGGTGTTATAGGTGTGCACTGCTGCACCCAGCTCAAGCCTGGTGATCTTTGACTGTACTTCGGCATGAGATGGAAGTATCAGTGGTGGCCTGGGGTGTAGCTCAGGAGGAGAGTGCTTGCCTAGCATGAACCAGACCCAGGATTTGATCCCTAGCACCAGGAAAAACAAACAGACAAACACACAAAACCCCTAAGAACCTGCAGGATAGTTCGAAGCCTAAGAGGCTGGGTCTTTCTCGGGAGGAGCCTTATGTGATTTTGCCAAGGGCCACACTGCCAGCGTGGGGGTGCTGGTGGAAACTTGGGTCTAAGCCACAGACTTCGGTATGGACTGGGCTGTGGCCACCTGGTTTGAAACTGTGGAAATTTCCTAACTCGCCCAGGGGAAGGACCCCCGGCCAGGTCCCCATCTCCTTTCCATTCCTCTCTCCAAGTCCTTCTAGCTCCCCTGGGATGCGTCCACATGGGTGGGACGTGGGAAGGAAGGCAGTGGTCTCCTTTAGCAGAGGCTCCGCCTTGGGGATCAGGCCCGATTTCTGCCCTCTCCCCAGCCCTGAGAAATTCCCTAACGCAGGCTGGCCATGCCCCCCACACTGCAGAGGTGGCCTTGAGGGCATCCGGCTCTAGGCTCTTGTTCTCTTCCCCAGGCTTTGCCCGAGGAACCCCTGACCACCACCAGAGTTGTTCTGTGATTCCCAAGAAGGTTTTAATCCAGGATCACGCTTATACCCAGGACTTTCAGGGTGGCTCCACATGACCCAGTCTGCCATGCTCGGGAAATGCTGCTTCCCACAATGTGATTTCTTACTGGCTGCCCAGGATAGCTCTGCAGCGCATCCTGGGAGCTTGTCTGTGCAGGAACTGTGAGTAATCAAAGGAAGGTGCAAGAGAGGAGGCCGAGATGCCCTGGGAAGTGGCCCTGTTTTTTAAATTGTTGCTTTTGTCTTTTGAGACAGGGTCTCATTATGTAGTCCAGGCTGGCCTTAAACTCACTATGTAGCCCAGGCTGGCCTCAAACTCACGGCAAACCTCCTGCCTCAGCCTCCCGAGTGCTGGGATTACAGAAGTGTGTCACCATGCCTGGCAGCCTTTCTTGAAGTGACAGAGACTGGGGCTTTAGAAAAGGCGGGAAGAGTAGGATGGAGTACAACGGAGAGAGAGAATCACGACACAAGATGACCCACGGCCATGTATCTGGGCAACAGGCACACATTCTGGGGGCTGGGGTAAGGGGAACAGAACCAGGGCCTTCGCTCTAAGTTACACCCCAGCCCTCTTTTCACGTTGTATGTTTGAGGCAGTGACTCCCTAATCACTCAGTTATCCAGGCTGGGCTTGCACCTGGAATTGTTCTTTCTAGCCTCAGAGGATGCTGGCATTACAAGCCTGTGCCGCCATGCTTGGCTAGACGATGCACTCATCACAAAATTCCGGTCTTTTCTGTGATGTATCTCCACCGCCCCTGTGGAAGGAGCTCTGACATACTGTACTTAATCCCCCCAAACTCAAAGTCCTCACCATCGAGAAAATCAGTAGCAAACCATTATTTTCCTTAACTTCCTATATTTTCCATTCTCTGTTTCTTGTATTTCAATTATCCTGGGTCCCTTTCATCACTAGCAGACTCCAAGCTGCCTGGGTGACTGCACCACACTGCCCTGGGTCCCCACCACTCAGGTGAAAACGCGTGGATGGTGGCAAGGGGCTGGATGCAGCACTGGAATGGATGATCTGCACACTTCTCAGCAATCTCTAAGAGGCAGTGCTATCAAAGTGAAATACAAGGCAACCCACAAATGTACTGTGATTAAGTTTTCCATTAACCAGATTAAGAAAACCCAAAAAGGAATTTATTACATTAACTATATATTCATGGAATCTAATACATCAAAAATATGATCATTGCAACAAATAATGTGAAAATTGGGTGTGTCCTTCACACCTCCCAGACCTTTGACCTGGCCCTGTTCAGAGGTCAAGAGCTACCATGTGACTGGTGGCCGCCATATTGGATACGGAAGTGATGAGGGATCCGAAGGAAACAGTGAAAGTCTGGGCTTAAGCAGACTTCCCTGAGACAACTATTCAGCAGACTGCCTCAAGTTTCAAGGTAGCCATCTCCTTCCCACCAGGAGGAGTGTCTGCCTTGGTGGCATAGAACTTCTCTCTCTAAATTGTGCACACAGCTGGAGCATGTCACAGAAGAGGCCGTTAGCTGGGCCTGCTTTTCTGAGCTCACGTCCAGGAGGAATGTTCTAGAATGGAATTTAAGGGAGGCACTCCAACTCCAGTGCTCTTGTTTGGAATGCAGACTGCGGACATCTGTCCTTGATCCTCTTCCAACATGGGCCCTCTACTCAGTTTGCCGGCTATGTGCGGATTCTTAGTTATTGACTCTTCTGACCCTAAGGATTTTTAAAAGGGAAAAAGGGTACCTATTTCCTGAACTGTGACTACCGTGGGATATAGCCAGATAGATCATTTCTTGCACACATGGAATGGCAGACCCTAGGGACGTGGGTCAAATGAAGGGACAGACATGTATCAGGTGAATCCTAATCAAAAGCACGCGGAGCTGCTCCACTAACTTCAGGCAGTGTAGACGTCCAAGCAAGGAAGAATATCAGGAACAAAGAGGGGATTACACAGTGACAAAAGGGAAAAGAAACCCCAGCTTTGCTTTTTGTATTATTTTGGGAAAACTCTTCCGGTTATCAGATGTCCTCATCTGGTTATCAGATGCCATCTGTGTGTCAGATACAGATGTGCTCTTGTATCACAGGTCAGCTCAGGCGGTGAATGTGAAACTCATGGTGCCTTGTAAATGCAGATTCCCTTTGCTTCCTTTGAATTCTTTGCCTACTCCTACACCCGTGTGCAGATCGGGACCTACGGAAGATCTCTCAGAGCCCTCCAGATTCACTGTCCACCCCAGCCCCAAAGCCCCATATCTTCACCTGTCCCTGTAATGGAACACACACTGTGACTCTATGGGCTGCCTCTGGGCTACTGAAACCTCTGCCTGGTGCTAGCCGGAGGCTGAGGGTGACTAAGGACACAAACAGAGCCTCCCCTTCCCGGAGTCTGGCCAACTCTGGTGTACAGGAGGTGATAATACAGCAAGTGTTTGAATTAAAAAAAAAATTACAATAAACACACATTGCCAAGAATGATGCGATACGCACATTTTAATTGGAGACAGTATTCTGAGGGGGTTCGTGGCAATGTGTCTCATCTGTAATACGTTTTTAAATTTAAGTATTCACTGTATTTGTATTTATGATCACCTGTCAATTATGCCAGTTTCTGTCAGATAAAAATATTATGCTGTGTCCTTGTCTACCTTATTGACCAGATCTGGCTCTGTGTGACTTCCGGATCCTCCCCAAAGTCAGAGGGACCATGAGAGGGCAACGTTTTGAGTCTATTCAGGACATTGAGGCAGCGCCCTGCAGACCCACAGGAGAGGATTCCAGAGCTGCTGCAGCAAGTGGCCAGGGCATGGGACGGGTGCGCTTGATGGGAGGGGAAAGTTGCAGGGAGGTTCACGGCAGCCTGTCTGTTTCACTCTACCCATGTATGCCCCGAGCCACTTGGGAAGTCAGGAGGGGGAAGGCACTTTGCTCGGACCCAAACTTGTTTGTCCTCTTCCTTCCAGTCCTGTTCCTCTCTAGTTTCTAGTGAGAGCTCACCTGCACATCACTGACTCACAAATCCCGACTAGCGTCTGCTGGGCAGCCAGACCCACTGTGAGGCTTCTGACCCCTTCACACTTTCACCCCTCCCTGGCACTGCAGGCAGGCAGCGGCTACCTGCGGAGCCTAGAGGGTGCGATTCAGAGGATGCTCGGGGAGGCTGCTCCTCTGCCAGAGCAGGAGGAGGAGGAGGCCGGGAGTGTGCTGCTTACCGAGGGTCGCCAGCTGCTTGAAGTGGAGGCAGGCGCTCGGCTGGCCCAGCAGGTCTAGGCGGTGGTACAGCAGCTTGCTGCTGGGCACTGTGTTGAGGTTCTTCAGCTGTCTCACAGGTATTTCTGGTTGTATCACCACAATGCACAGAATGAAGGACGTGTCTTGCACCTGTAAAAATCGGTGAAGAATTTCTAACACAGAAAGTGAAGGGCCTGTGGGCATAAGGACATCGCACGCGCTATTTTCTGCTGTCTCCATTCTCTACCCTCCCCTGGCAAGTGTGCACGAAATATGTGCGAACGAGTGAAAGGTGCCTCTGTTGCTCATGCAGGTTATTAACGGACACAGTCAAATGCAGGGATGACAGCACAATGCTTCTATCTGGGCTGAAAATGTTCTTCCAAACACGTAGCTGGTTTTGCGATGTGTTCCGAGAATCCACCATTTCATAGGCCAGTTGTGAATCCTCACTTAGGGGAAATGCCAGCAGCCAATGCAGAATCCAGTCATTGTTTGGACTCCCAGTGAGTGCTTCCCCTTCCCCTGGCGGGAGGTGAGCACATTGCTACCCGAGCTCCAGCTCGCCTGAGGCACAAGTCCGCCAGCCCCGCACAGCCGCTGCCTCCACCTCTGCCTCGGGCTGCCCGGCGCCCAGCTTCCCACAGAGCCCTGGGTCCCGGCCACCTGGTGACGCTGTGTGACTCCATCCTGGCTCTCACGTCTGTGGTGGCTCTGGGGCGCTGCCTGTCACACACGTAAAGGTGGAGCTGCAGTCACACATGGCACGCAGCCCTGGGTGCAGCGCTGGGCTGTGCGAGAGTCTGTTGCGCCAGACCTGGGAAGCCGCCCAGAAAGGTGATTTGCACTTAAACGAGAAGGGCAGGGACCAGCGATCGAGGCCCGAAGGGAAAGACAGCACCGCATGCGGCCGCTCCACTGATTCCGTCAGTGACACTGGGCAGGCTGCACGGAGAGCGGCCCAAGTGTCTGAGGAAGGCTGCAGAGTCTTAACACAGAAGCAATCTGTGTCCAAGAGCTGCTGTCAAGTCCCGCTGGCAAAGATACGCAATGGGAGCAGCAGGCCGAGTCCTCGTCCTCCTCTCCCGTGTAGAGAGTGACCAGCACGTGAAAGCAGCCTCCGCTCTCTCCTCAGGCGCCGTTAGCTTGAGTTTCCTGTGTTATAGGTTCCCATGAGCCCAGAAACAGAACCTTATCAGAATGACCAGGATATAAGTCTGTAACTGGGTCTCTTCTATAGGAGAAAAAGTTATAGCTACCCTGTGTTTCTAAAGGCAGCACTTTAAAAGTGCCAGCCCCGCGTGAAGAGGAGCCGTACTGATGCTTCTGGAGGGGCTCCTGAGGAGAAGCGCCTTTGCTCAGGGCTTGACCTGGGATCCGGGCTTGAGGGGCAGAACCTGAAAATGCCATCCTACCTTGCAATGGTCAGCCCTTCCTCTGTCACTGCAGGCCTCATCAAGTGCTTAAAAGCGGACCTGGGTTAGGCCGTGCTAGAATAACCTCTCGGGTCGCTAACACGGTCTCCCGAGTCTTACTCAGGTGAGTTCAGGGATGCAAGCTGTGCGTGTCGGCCATCTGTGGACGGGAAGCTGTTTCTCAGCACCAGCTCTGCCTGGACTGTTTTAGTAGAAGAACCCATCGTGGGGACAAGCCAAATATCCGCCCTGCTCTGCCCCACAAGTACCTGAGGACAGCTGAAAATATCTGCCCTATGAATAGGTAACCAGACAGGCCATTTTTATCTTGAATCTCATTACTCCCTTAATTTTTCACTGAACAGTGACTGCTTGACAATTTCAGAACTCTGAGGAAGTTAGTGCTTCTCCCAGAAGTGACTGCATCCAATTTGCCGGGGGACGGTGGTCAGAATTTATCAGTACGTCTGCAAAGAAGGCTCTCAGAAGAGAATACTTCTTTCCACAAGAAGACACCGGGTTTGCCTACTGCACAGAGAAGGTCCCACAAGCGCCCACATTTTCTTTTTCATCTTTCAAGGTCAACAATTAATGTAGACATCCCGCCAAGGTGTGACTGAGCCGCTTACGGAAGCAGACAATCTCCGACTTCAAATACAAGACTTTTCCAGCTAAGGATTTTGGTGCCAGGCTCATCCCTTCCGAAGCAGACGTGAACCAATTAATGCTTAAAAATTATATGAGTCTAAGATAAGGGCAGCTGGTGCTGTATTCTAAGGAGGCAAAAAAACTCTAATAAGGAAGAGTGGCTAAAAACAATTTCCAGAGACTCAGCTTCCCTCAAGTTTCTATGACTGAACAATAAGTTCCTAAAGAATTGCCTACAAGCATCAACTTTTCAAACACTTTCATTTTTTAATTTTTTTGCTTTCCTTTGTTTACTGACTGGCTGGCACTGCCAGCATGGTGCCCTAAGCACCAGCTGTGGGGGCGGGAGGAGAGTGCTCTAACAGCGCGGGCTGTAGCTCCTGTCCTGGACGTGGAGACCACATGGGGTTGAGTTGAACATTGTGCCTGCCCCGATGATTTCACCTCCTGATGTTCGTTCTGTCTTAAAGGGAAGGATCAGTGGATCCACCGGAGCCAACGGGCTCTGCCCCGCACAGTAATCCCAAGGAGGCCTGAACCTGAAGTTCAGGGATGACGATCGGATGGTACAACTGCGTTCTTCTTTGGGTCAGTTATGGGACATGCAGCCTGACCACGGTATCACGCTGGCAAGGGCAGGAGCGAAGAGAAACACAGCAACACGGACAGTGTGTGTTGGGTTCTATTTTTCTGTGGTTTGCTGAGGCCCAGCCACTGAATGAGGCCGGTAAGAGAAAGCAGAAATGGGAGCTCTTTTTTAGTTTTTAATTTTGAGACAGGAATTCAGCTAAGTCACAAAGAATCCCAGGCTAAGCTTGAATTTGTGATCCTCCTGCTTCAGCCTCCTAGAGAGGTGTGCAGCGCCATGCTCAGCTTTTCATAACTCCTTTTGTAATGCCTAACTTCCTTAATTTAAGTTCAAATGATAAAAAATGTACATGGACATAGTCTAAAGCAGTAGGGGACCATGTCCAGGAATGTGGTGCATCCGTACAGTGACATGACACAGCCACTCAGGCGTGTGCACACGTGCACATAACGAAACACAGCTCTGCGCACTTGTGCACACACACGTTTTCTGGAAATGAACCTGGGTGGCTCTTCTGTGGAATGGGAGGTCACAGGCCGAGCGGGAGGGAAGAGCGCTATCTACTTGCTATTTCACATTCCTTTATATGGTGTGGTGGATTCACTGTGAACAAGCGCTGGTTTTACAGACAGAACAGGAGAAGATGAGGCAGCACGTGCGGGAGGTGTCCTCTGCCAGTCACCCTGCGTGGCCGCGCCCGCCCTCAGCCCCAAGCCCCCACTGCCCCTGGGAGGAGAGCCCGCGCCGCGCCCCACGCACCATCTTCCAGGCGTAGCTGACGTTGTAGGCCTCCTTCCCCGCCTCCCGCAGCTTGTTGATGTGCCAGGACAGAGACGAGTTCACCGGGACCGAGATGATCTGGCTGCCCAGGGGGAGGCTGCACCGGCAAACAGAGTTAAAGGATAAACGCGGCCCTTCCCAAAGGCAGGCGAGAAGCCGCGGCCCCCTCTGGATTTCTGAATAGCCGTGAAACGCACAGCTTGAGGGGCATAATGTGAGGTTTTCCATTTGGCAAAGGCATGCGTCAGCCCTGTGTGCCTGCACCCCAAGTCTAGTTCCTCCCAAGCCCGACCCCCCATCTCTCAGTCGTTAATATTCACCCAGCAAGCATAAAGACCCACTCTCCACGGGTTGCTGTCTGCCAGAGTAGCAAACCGCCACGGGGACAGACAGCCCATGTGATTTTACTCCGGGAGGAAACGCTGTTCAAGACAGCGCTGTCGACCCAGACGGGCGGGATTCTGCCAAATGATTTTCTGGCAAATGTAGCAGTGCTGGTCCTTTGCTCAACCTTTTGTTTTGCTGATATTTTCTAGTTTGGTATAACCAGAGTATCTTTTAAGTATGATATCATACAGCTTATTTTACAGTGACTGACAAAATGAATACTGAAGATGATTTGTAAGATTTTATAAGCAAATAATAGTTCTGAGACCTTCTCTGCTATATGAAGCCAAGAAAGTCTTAGCTACTATTTCATGGAAAAAGTATTCAGAATATTTTGATAGCAATAAAATAATTATATACTTGTCCTATACCCTAGAGGAAACCTTCACCTGTGATCAAAAACTACACTAAATGTTTAATTAAAAAGCTTTATGTTACAGTAAAAGACACATTGTCATTAAGCTCCCTTAAAATCCTCTTCCCTTGCACACACTCGTCCCGTAGTCCCGGCCACTTCCTGCAGCAGCTCTGGCGTCCTCTCTCCTGAGGGTCTTTAGCTGCACTATCCTGACTGCCTCAATGTCCTGAATCCATTCAAAACGCTTCTCTCTCCTGGTCATTCTGACTTTGGGGAGGAGCCGGAAGTCACACGGTGCCAGATACGGTAAATAAGGTGGACGAGGACACAGCATTGTGTCTTTATTTGAGAGAAACGGCCATAAATGTTTGATCAACAAGGGTAATAAGAAATATGGTGAGTGCTGGGTGTGGGGGCACACACCTGTGATCCCAGCACTCAGGAGGCTGAGGCAGAAGGACCGTTGTGAGTTCAAGACAGCCTAGGCTACAAAGTGAGCTGAAGGCCAGCCTGAACTGCATAGGGAGACCTGGTCTCAAAAAGAAAAAGAAAAAGACAAAAAAGAAAAAAAGAAATATGGCGGCTGTGTAACTAAATTCACTATAGTAAAAGATACACTGTCATCGATCGCCTGCACAACCTAAAATACCCTCACCACACTTACCCCACCATTCCTGGCAACGTGTCTTTTATTGCAATACGTCTGTTAAAAATCCAAACCTTCTGCATATTCTGTGCTCACCCCGTATCTGACCTCAGTAGGTCCCCTCTCAGAAAAAAGAAACGCAACGACCCTCACCTTTTTCTTACCTTAGGATATTTTGCCGAACCAACTCAAATTTGGGGATATTTTCATAGTGAATGATGTCCGTGTGGAGGGGCGGCTCGGAGAGTAAGTATGGCCTGGTGAGAGACGGGTGCATGAGCGTGTAGCCTGGAATCGGAAGCAGAGTGCGCCGTGAGAGATGCGCGCGGGAAGCCCGGGTTCTCCGACAGCGCCCATCGCGGCTTCCAGCGGCCGCCCGCCCAGCCCCTTCCTGTCTCAGCTGCTTTGGAGGCTTACATGAAACTCCCCTGGAAAGAGGTCGTAAATTACTGAGAGTATTTTGGCAGCACTGGTTTTCACTTTCAGAAATTTTCTAACCTGCCACACAAACCTTAATGCCCATAAATCTAAAGATAAAAGAGAAACAAAAGACCATGCGCCACATCAAACCTTTGCCTGCAGCAAACCTTTCTTCAACATTATAATGAAAAATGTAAAAAATTAAGTTTGGAGATATATATGGATTATATTTTGTATTTTATATGTGGCCCCAAACAATTTCTCTTTACGCAAAGAAAGAAAAAAAAGGAAGGTGGGCTATTGGTTGGAGATGGCCAAAGGGACCACCCTCCTTCCTTTCTTTCATTCATTCCATCATTTTGAGACAAGGTCTTGCTATGCAGCTCAGGCTGGCCTCGATCTCAGAGAGATCCTCCTGCTTCAGCCTCCCAAGTGCTGGGATTACAAGTATGTGCCACCATGTCTGGCCAGCATCACATTCTATGTGTTATTCAATCCTGTGTGACATGGAATTGTGGCCAACCTCCACACAACAGAGACTGTGTAGTTTGTAGGCTGCCTCTGCCAGAGACCTCCATGGTCTTCTGCTACATGGGAGCAGTCCTAGCCACGCTGCTTTTGTTTAAATAGCATCTTTATTCTGCTTTATTGTTAGGACTGGAACATCTACAGATTGTTCTCTTTGGGTAGCTGAGGAAGCTGCCCTTTCCTGGGATTAAGTGTCAGCCCCTTACCTTTGTCATCTATGAGGAACGTGTAGGAGGCCAGCGAGTCTTGGTAATAGGTCACGTCCTCAAGGATGTAGGCCAGATTCACGTCCACACCCACGATCCCCAGCAGGAGGTTTCCAAAGTAACAGGGCTTACTCACGGTCATTATCAAACCTGTGGGATAAAAACCACTTCTAAAAGCTGGAGAGTGAGGCTCTGGAAAAGCCTGGCACTGTGCTCTAGTGAACCACAAAGGCTGGTATCTCCCGGCTCCGCTTGGGAGAGAAACTTCCTGTGCAACCCAGGAACTGACCAAAATGCTTTCGCCAGACACTGGGGGCATGAACAAAACACACAGCGACTATTTACATATGTACTAGAGCAAAAGACACACTGCCATCCACTCCCCTCAAGAAGCTCCCCTCACTTGGAGCACACTCATCCCATCATCTTGGCCACTTGCAGCGGCTCTGCAATCCTCTTTCCTGAGGGTCTTTATGGGATGTGATCAAAATTACACCCAGCATCCTTCTTGCATATCTCTGTCTTCCTGAGAAAACACTTTGAAGATACCACCACGTATTACAGCAGCCATTGATATTTTCCTACTAATCTGTCCACAACTCTGTAATGTTTGTATTGTTCCTATGCTATTTCATAAATGGATCTATGTTTATTATTATGTGTTTCCTACAACAACCATTGAGAATAGTTAATGATTATTCAAT